CTTTTTTTTCCCCAAATTCCAGCACAGTTCTCTGTTTAATCAGGCCAGTCTTTTTTTCCTGATGACTTGTCTTTCTACACACGTGGGGACAGCTTACTCCTGAATATTTAACAATTCCTTTTTAAAGCACACCCATCACTCTTGGAGTCGTTTGCCCTTCAGGAAAGTCCCCTGACTCTCAAGGGAATTTGTCAATCAATGTCCTAAGTAGGCCAAAGTCTGCTTGCTGGAGGTTCAAGGTGGAAGTTCTGCTGGTGCTCTCTTCCTTACTTCACCCAGGACTGAAAACTCTACCATTTCCTGGTCACTATGTCCAAGACGGCCACCAACCACCACATCACCCACCAGTCTTTCATTGTTCAGAAAAAACAGGTCTACTAGAGCACCTCCTCTGGAAAGTTTATTTACCAGTTTTTTTAGGAGTTTCTCTTCCACACTCTGGAAACCTCCTAGACTGCTTCCTCTCTGCTGCACTGTATTTCCAGCAGACAACTGGCAAGTTGAAGTCACCCATGAGTACAAGGGTCAGAAAGCATGAGACTCTTGCCAGCCACTTGTACAATATTTAAAGAGCTTATAGCTATCCATTGTAGCACTCTAGTTGTGAGAGTCATCCCACCATGTTTCTGTGATAGTGACTACATCATAACTTTCCTGCTGTACAGTGGCTTCTAGCTCCTCCTGCTTGCTGGCCATACTGAGTGCATTGGTGTAGATGCACTTCAAATGGGCTGATGGTTTTGCCTCCATCCCAGGTATGCCACCCCTAGGCTCATCTTTAGTGAGCCTGGGTGTGGTGGGGGAAAAAAAGTTTTCCCCCTGGAGTTAAAAAAATGGTAACCCCCAAGGGGGTGGTGTCCCTTGGGGTTGAACCAATCAGCGCTCCTGCAAAATATAAACATTTCACAACCAGACCGGAAAAGAAGGATGTTGTAGTTTTTGGGAAGTGGCCATGTTGTAAAGCCATGAGGAGAAGGGGCAAGAGCCCCTCTGGGGAGCCACGACCCCCCAGCCCCCAGCTGGAGTCATAGAAACTCAGAAACAGTATTAAACTGGACCAGAGTCTGTGACTGAGAAGCTGAGAGTCTTTCTCCACTGTGAGTGGGCAGCAGGAGACACTAAAAGCGGCAGCAGAGCAGCAGTGGACAGAAAAACGTGGCAGAGAGACAGAAAGAGATGGGATGCAGCAGAGATGGCTTGCAGCCAAGCAGGAAGACACAGAGATCTCTAACGGAGAGAGACAGAGCAGGGCTCTACAGAGAGAGAGAGTTTGGGGTAAGAACTGAAACAAACCCCCCAAACCCCTCTGAGACCTCCTAGAGAGGAGGAGGAGATGGACTCCTATTTGAGAGGAGTCTTGGAGTGCAGCATGCACCGGAGAGAGGATCTAAGAAGCTCAAGACATCCCAGAGCTGGACTGGGATGGCCAGACGGAATGCTGCCAAGCTGGCAGCAGCTGAAACAGAACACAGGAGCTCTGATAGAACTCTTGAGGCAAAGGCTTTCAACTGAAAGCTGCCCGAGACGTTCTGACTCAGGGGTGAATCCCCTGAGGAAAGGGACCATCACGAAGACCCCCTGCGCTTCATGATATGACGTGGTGACGCGAGCTTGTCCCTGATATTGCAGTCCACAGGAGAGAGAGGGGGTGAGAGGAGACCCCTCTTGTGTGTAATGGAAGGAGATCCAGCTGCAACAGTCCAGCTACAGCTGCTGTATGGAAGAGGAGAGACACTGTTGTTCTGAGAGTAGAAAGGATCTCTTCCTTCTTCCCTTCTGAACTTTTATTGGAGGGAGAAGAAATTGATCTATTGTAAATACTGATTTATCATAGGAGAGATAGTTAAGATTATGTATATGATGTATTGTAATATTTATTTGTACAGTGATTGTAATATAATTCCCTTTCCCCCCATATTGAGTCTTGTGTAGTGTCTGGAAAACCCATCTCACTGGGGTGAGATGTGGGAGGGGGGCTTGGACTCGAGAATTGGATTTTAAGGGTCTCAAACTATGACACTGGTCTTATCACCTTCCCCCTTCGAGCATAGACTTCACAGCCTGACTAACTCCTGGGACATAATTTCTGTAAACCTATCTGACTGAGCTAAGAAAAATATTTATGGGGCAGATGTGTTGCAAAGATTTGTTCCATATTGTAACTGAAGTGGTTTTGTTGAAGATAATTATCATGTCACAGTGTAATACTAAATGTGGTGTCTCAGGTCAGTTAAGAATTTAACCATACTGACATTTCAGAATTCACCAGTGTATATAATGTTTTTATGACTGACAGGGTGGAGTGACGAGATGCTATCAGACTTATTCTGTACTAGCTCTAGTCTAGAGAAAAAAAGAGAAGTCTTACACTGAGGAAACAGTAATTACCTCTATTCCCTCATTTTTCAAACACTGAGAAGGGATGGTAGTTTCCTCAATTGTTGCAAAAATATGTTTGAAAGACACTGTCTCAGGAGAGGAAGACAGAAAAGAACTGATGTTTCTGAAATGAGAAAGTTTTCATAACAGAAAGAAATAATCAGGTGGTATTTTAACTGTTTTAGCATAGATCTAAATGTAGTATATGAAAAGGTGATCTCATTTATGGATTTCCTTTGTTTCTTTGATTACAGTTAGAAGAAAATACTTCATAAAATGTGTTCTACAATCATTTAATTGTTAGCAAGCAGTGTTCTCTGAAAATAGCTTTATACATACAGCTGTACTTGTATACAATATGTACAGAAACACAGTAACAGACACTTCCAAAATGTGCATATTGGGCTAGCAATACACCCAGTAAAGCTCCAGAAAGATTAACTAATTCCGGCACGCCATGCTACAAGAGTTTGAGAGGAGCTATATATAGTTAAGGTTACTGACTCAAAACAGACTTGAAGTATAAGGCCTGGGAAATAATGAACCGAAATTGTGCTGATTTCCTGACAAGAAGGAGTTATAGCCTAGAACACCTTCCCCTCGCAACGAAAAGAAATGTAGCTTGCAGTTCTGCCAGAAAGCTGGCTCATGCTGTCCATAACACACACAGCACTTTAACATGCTGAGTGAAGAGTATGAATCAAACACAAGCATCAAATCTACTACAAATTAGATTATTGTTTTTCCGGTAGGGCACCTGTATCATCTGGCAATGTCCCCATCAGACAAATGCATTTAGGAAATAAAGAACACAATGGATTTAGAAGTCCTGCGAAATGCTATGCAGTGTAGAAAGTTGCTAAACAAAATCAGGAGCTGGGAACCAGAATAAAAACAGCACAAATGAATGGGAAACTTGATTGCAGTCAATGATCAGCACTAAGAATTGACAAAGGAAGATTAAGCTTTTGCGTTTTGCAGGTGTGAAATATTTGTGAGTAAAAAGGATTCGAGACTGATCAGAAGTGCAGAATCCAAAACTTTAGAACACTAGACTGTGGAATACCATTCCTAAACCACCACGACAGGTGACAATTTCCTAAACCATTACACATAGATTTACAAGTTCGAATCAATTGGCTCCTTTGTGTAAAGCCTTGCAAGGAGCCACTGAAGCCACAGGGCAACAGCAATCAGCTAGGGCAGGTAGTTTGGAGCTGAACTACACTGAACTTCATAAGTTTTCTCATTTGAATGCTGCACACAACTTTAACTACATTACATCACCCTATAGGTACATCCAACTGGACCATGCTGGTTGACATTAAGAACTTCAGTCTGTTACTTTCCCTGTTGAGTGGTAAAAACTGGGGATTTTTTCTCAGATAATTAGCTAAATCATATGCACATTACATCAGTTTAACTTCTTGCTGCTTTAAAAATTGGGGTAGGGGTATGACTAGTCTTGAAGACAGGGGAATTGAGAAAGAAATTTTGAACTTCCGATGGTTCCACAGTTACGAACAGAACTAAATAAATGCAAGTGCATAAATAAGGACAAAAGGAATAGTGAGTTGCTACACTGCATTAGCACTTCAGCTTTTGAAATTATAAGGCTGGAAACTAATTCTGAAATCCAATTTAAATTTCTGGTGTACTTTCTAGTATTCACCTTAGACAAGTCACTGCAGAAGTCAAGGATACAATGTTGTGACAGAGAGATCTGTGCTAGCGCAGTTCCATCCAATTTCAAAGAAAAAGGTATTTAAAATTACATTTGGCTCATGAACTGGCCATAACAAAATAATTTCACAAGGTGCCCTTATCTGCCATTACTGCCCCTTCTCCTAAGAAGGACACTGTGAGCATTTTCTCTCTGAAGCTCAGACACAAAACAAACCCTGCCCCAGCTAGCCTCTCACCTGGCTTGGGAATAATTATTCATCTGACACCGTGCAGCTGTGTAAGGGGGGAATCAGCTCTGACTCCCCCCAGAAGCTTTTAGATGAACAGCCTTGCCCGAGCAGCAGAAACATGTTTCCGTCTTTGTGCCTAGTTGACTACCTGTGTTGGCATGTGAACTGATTAAAAAATTTTTTAAAAAATATATTATTTTAGGGCTGAACTTCTTGCTTTCTTGAGATCTGAAGGGCAGTTTTGCAAGCTTTGTATGTGGTATCCCTAGCAGAGATCTGTAACTGAAAAAAAGAGGAGTAGATCCTCCTAGCAAATTTGTTCTGGACATGATGGTAATTGGTACTAGAGCCTCACACAGCATTCCCAGTTGTTTTAATCCCAGGTCTGTAATGACCATGTACCTTGAAAATCTCCTCATAGGAATAATGACAAAGATGTATGCTGCTCATGGCACTGGAATGATTAACAAAAACATTAGAAAATCATTTTTTTAGGCAGCTCAGACAGGATTTTCAGAAATGCATTGACTATTTATGTACATGAGCCTTCAGGAAAAGCAAAAGTGTCAGATTTTCAACAGTACTGGAGCCTTGTTGAGACTGGTAAACAGTGTGTGCATTAGGAGTAGATCTAGAAGATAGAATAGAATCACAAGATAGTTAAAATTGGAAAGGACCTCTAAGACCATCGCATTCAACCATTAGCCTAGCACCACCATGTTCACCACTAAACCATATCCCCAACTGATATATACACACTCTTTTTGAACATTTCCAGGGATGGTGACTCCAGCACTTACCTAGGTAGCCTATTCTAATATGCCTGATCACCCTTTGAGTGAAAACATTTTTCCTAAAATCTAATCTAAACATTCCCTGACACAGCTTGAAGCTATTTCCTCTCGGCCTGTCAGTTATTACTTGGAAGAAGAGACTCACCCCCACCTGGCTTCAACCTCCTTCCACAGAGTTTTAGAGACTGATAAGGTCCCCCAGAGCCTCCTTTTCTCCAGACTACATAACTCCCGCTCATTCAGCAATTCCTCATAAGACATGTGCTTAAAACACAGAAAGCAAACAGCTGGTACTGAGCAACCAATGCCAGCTACTCATGCCAGCCACCCATGTGTCATTAGTTGGGAGTTGTTTCAGACTAGGACTTGTCTGGCTCATGGTCTGGATGATCCTTAGCGATCAGAGTATGTTGAGTGCGCTCCTGCATGGCATCCTTCAGATTGGTTTTGTCTGGTATTAATCTGGGTTCTGCACTCTGAGATCTTGCTGAGCTGTATGAAGACTTGCCACAGAATCCCTGTGAAGCAGCCACTCAGAATTTTACCTTCTTGAATGTTCAACCCTCCCAGTACACTTAGCATCCTTCTTAGCTGTGTACTGATATCAACAACATCAGTTAGCAGCAAATATATAGCATGTAGAAACTCTAAACCAATGGTGCCACAGTCTTAACAGTCAGAGAAATGAACTTTCAGACACTGAGTTCTAGAAAACCTGCATGTTGCACACATTTTTCTTTTGATATGTTAACCATGAAAAGAATGAAATTTTAGCAGATAAACTTCTGACCTCAGCAGCAAACAGAAGCTTCAAAGAGTAAAATCTCATCATGTATGTCTACCAAAGTGAACAAACAAGGTGGATTTCAATGAGGTAAAAATCTGGCACTCGATACTTGAATACTTTTTTGTCTGAAACTAGAATTTATGTGTTGCAATGGCCCTTTAATTGAGTCCAAAATGCCTAACAGTCTTAATGAGCAATGTTTGTAGATACCACACAGCTAAAATAATGCAAAATCTACTAGAGTAAAACATAAACGTGGATCAATATTCAGTTGAAAATACATATTTTTTCAAATCAGAAAATCTAAACTTTTTAAAGCAATATTATATTTGCTGCTTTCCTTCATGTTAAACACATACTAGCATGTCCTTTAAAGTACAGTGTAACACCAGTCAGTTTTGGTTTCTCAATAAAATGTACTGCTCATTTCTATCTAAGAGTCAGACTAGGTGTGAGATAATCTGATACTGGTCAGGCTTTGAGAGAACCTCTATTTTGAGTACTTAGACAGTCTAATCACGAGAGCCAAAAGTGAGTTACAAACTTCAAATAAAATGTTCAAATTTGTTTCACAGTCAAAAATTACACATGTTAAATCATAATGACATTTCTTGTTTCAAGTTGTGCCCATTCAGTTGTGTCATGGTAGTTGCTGTGTTCCTGGTATTGCTTTTCAGGGAAGTCATTTGAATGGCAGAAGAGTTGCGCAAGTAGCTGGCAGATCTCTCTTGCTGAGCTTTCTTCCTGCAGCAAAGCTGGTTGTTGAAATGCCTTCTGAAACTCTCACTGAGAAAATACAATGCAAATGGGTTGACACAAGAATTGCAGAAGCTTAGCACTCGGGCCACTAAGGTAACAACCATATGTCCTGTTGATGGATCAATCTTATTGTAATGAAAAGATCGGTACATGTATAGCACATGGTTAGGAAACCAGCAGATAGCAAAGAAGCCAACAAAAACTAGAACAATTTTTGCCAGACGTTTCCGAGTTTCCATCTAAAAAGACGAAGAGAACCCAAATGAACAACAATGAATAGAACTACTCCACATAACAGACTTAATTAAAACATGTAGTATTTTGCTTTATATTAGCTTCAACAACTATCATAAGTAAGGCCAGTAAAACTGCTTCCTTCAGGGGTTGAATTACTTGTTCCGTCTCATTTACTTTCCTTTCCCACTTTCAGTTTACTTTCACTGACAGATCCTAGCTGTTTGCAGCAAGGTTGCTCTTTCTATATAATATACACAGCAAGACTGATTCATGACCCAAGGAAATATTGGCTTTTAGCCTAAAAGTAAGCTCCAAAGGATGTCATGAACCGTAATCTTTTCTGATGAGATCTCAGTGCTTGGCTTGAAACTTAAGTTTTAGTTAGAAAGTTATTTAGAAACTGTTGGTTTTAAAATCTAGAGACATTGTGAATGAAATGTAGAGACATTACTAGGGTGTTAGCCATTCTATATATATATACATATATATTTATATCCCATTGTTTTTCCTGAAGTGCCTCAGCTTGCCCCTCTCTCCTAGAGAAACCACCAAAACTGCATTACACAGTATAAAGCATCTTAATTCCAGGGTAAAGTGAAAGGTTCCATTAAATCTTCAATAATGACATGAAATGTACCTTAATTTCAGCACTAAGTTATAATGGATTACAGTGACGCTACGAGAATGGCTGAAAATTTGGCAAGATATGAGCATACACAGTGAATCCAAAGTGAGAGAGAGACTGGACAGATAGAAGGCACCAAAGAGAGGCAGAAAGTTTCTTCATATTCTTCCTAAAAGATTTATTATGTATATGAGGTATGAAAATTTTGCAAATGCAGGAAAGTTTTCTAGCTCTGCTCAATTTTCTGGAAAAAAAAATGAAGCAAATTTATTCTAACAGGGTTTCAAAATTTGTGAAATTAATCTTTAAGTAGTTTTCTTGTCTCTATCTAAAAAAAAAACCAGTGGGGAATTCCCAAAAGATGGGAAAACTCTAACATTTCAATTTGGTAGCATTTGCACTCATATTGCAAGAGCAAACTAAAAGGTGCAGAGGCAGAGAGTGAATTTTACACTTGGTCTAAAGAAACATGATTTGATAGCAATAGTCTGAATTTATTTCCTCTTCCTGGAAGACATGTAAGTATACCAGAATTTTCTATTCGTCTGAGCCTCATAGATTACAAAAAGAAAAAAAAAGTAAGTAGAATGAAAAAATATGTTCTTACTTTGAAAATACATGTGAGTTCAGAAGTGTGATATAAATTAAACATTTTTTTTCCATCTAGAGAGTTCAGCCAAAAGGCTCTCTATATTTCACAAGAAAATAAAATAATACCTGAAGTGCTAATATGTACGCACTTTTGACAAGAAACAGACCAGAGCAGAAATGAAATGCTGCTCAAAAAGGACATGAGGGAATGTAGTCTTTCCTTTAAATGAATATGCACATACTATATATGCAAGGAGATTTCAGTTAGTATGGAAGTAGTTTTATAAAATACTGGAAGAGAAAATCATTCAAAGTTGTTTTAATAGGCATAAGTATTTTTCTCTATCACTACTAATGCTTTTGCAAAGTGGTCAAGGCACTTTCACTGCAAAACTGGTGTTTGTACACGTAAGTGTTCCTGCTAATGTTGCTATCTTACTGCTTCCTGTGCCTTACAGGGAAGATGGCTTTGTCTAGCATTTTAAAAAGCTTTGTCTCAAAGGTATACAGAATCTATACCAAGAGTGTTATAGCATCTATAACAGAAAGGATATTAGAAAAGTGAGAGTTCAGGATTATATCCAAGGAAGATCTACTAAGAAAGTCAAAAAATAATCAGTTAATGCTCTGTGTTCATCTTTTCAGCACTCCTTGGTCTGAGAAGACCTTAAATTTCCTACATAAATTTTCCCTGCTTATGTCAGTTTTCTCATTTCCAAGCACAAATAAAAGAGGGACAATTCTCAAAGATTTCTTTCCCAAAATGGCTGCCTATAGAGACAGGTGAAGCCTGTCTACAGTAACTACAAAAAACATCATTCTTTAGTAAGAACACAAGTAATGGTTAAATTAACAGCATATACAAGCACATGTACCAATGTCATTTACTATTAAGAATGTGGATTGATGGCATTGAATTTATATTTTTCCTTGCTCATATTAATTTACATACTGGGCTTAATACTGAGTAATCGTGAAAACTAGGAGATTTTTCAGATAATCCTTGTCTTAGTTCATGTGGAAACTGAACTCATCTTCTGTAAAATCCAAACTATTTGGGTGTTATAATTCCTTTACTTTCATTTATAAGTGTATACAAAACACAAATCTTTCAACAGGATGTAAAAAGCAAATTGCTTACCTGTCTTTTGGAATGCTCACTGTATTCTCCAGGGATGTTGTGAGCGCTTTTTATTAAACTCTTTGCAATATGATAGTAGTAGATACTAATAATCACAAGAGGCACAAGGAAATATACAAGGAAAAGCAGCACAGAATGGATCTTTGGGTGCATGTCATCTGTCATGGGGTATGGTATGCACGCTGTGAAAGTGGCATTATCTGTGTCATTGATGTGAGCCAGTTCGGAGAACACTGCTTCAGGAACTGCTAGGAGCATGGAGATTACCCAGATGGCAGCGGCTTTAAGACAGGTCCATAGCACTGCACTGGAGGTCTGGATGTCCATGGGATTTACAATTGCTTTGTACCTGAAATTGATCAAAATGCAGATGCAAATTAAAAGGTATTCAAATTCAACATGTGATGCACAAGATCACTTCATGCTTTTGATTAAAATAATGTGTTTTGCTCTTATTTGAAATGTCAAGAGGCTTGTAATCTTTCTTAAATTTGCGTTCTCTAAATCTCTACCTTTATTTGTATACATATTCATCAGAGGTGGCAGATGGAGGCACCATAACCTGTGGCTGTAGGTGCCCGTTCCAAGCCAGTGTGGTGAAAGCCCAGAATCAGCCATGACTATGTACTTTCTTTCTCCAAATACCCCCCAGCAAATCTCCAAATGTGCATCCTACCTCTGTATTTCCACCTCCCTCTTGTACCAGCACACGCACACTTAGCATTTCCTTCCTTCCTCAGCTCCTGAAGCCCAGGGCTCCTTCCTGTCTGCCACCATAGCTTTCCTACTCTAGGATAGCCCCAGTCCTCCTCAGAGGAATATATGCATCTCCATAAAGTCAGGCAGAAATTACTCCCAACAGCCTGCAACGATTAAATTCTTACATAAAGTAAACATTTTCACATCCATAGTTGGAAGCTGCTGCTCTACACTGCATTTTGGAAAACTGTCTCATAATATATGATTACATATAAACCTTTGTGGAACTGATAATTTCATAGCCCTTACAATGAAAACAGGAAGAATTGCAGAGAATGGAAATATCACTCTACAGCAAAGTAAAGTAAACAAACAGAGGTAGACTCTGGTCAGGAATTATTTTATTAAACAACATCATTGCAGGAAGGGAGAAAAATTGAAATTTTCCACAAGAAAATGTACATGCTAAAAGGGCAAGTATACTTTGAAAAAAATTTATGGGGGATATCTTAATGTTTTCCTTAGATTTTTTAATTTTTTTTTGGTAAGTAAGTTATGCTTTAATGTTTTTATTAAAAACTAAACCTTAAACAGAACATTTCAGTTGGTCTAAGGGGCGGTAATTTGGAAGGTTGCTTTGTCTCATAAGTTCTTTTAGCCTTCTCAATTCTTTTCTTTTTATTTTCAATGTGATTTGAAATGGCTGGGGTTTTTTTCTGAAACAGCAAAAGTTTTGAGAATTGGAAAAAATATTCTTTAATATCTAAAGGAACATTTGATAAGAAGAAAGGAGTCAGGAGAGATTCATACTTCAGGTACATAACTTCATCCATCTTCAGGTCTTTCTAGTCAGTGGAGATATACTTTCAAAGAGTGATTCAGATTTCTGGTGCATTAAATCACACTCTCAGGTGTTTATTTTTCTCTGTTAGCTATACAGTGAGATTAGACTGAGAACTCTAACTTAGATGCCCATCACTTTGTGATAAAACTCCATATCCAAGCATCTAGATACACATACATGCATATAGACATTTAAATATGTATGGCTATGAGCAGGGGTCTAAATACATACCAAGGGTTAGTTTATACCCAAATATAACATAGTTGCTGAAGGGACTGCTGGGAAATGGAGTTGTGATCCCAGATATCCTTTATGGCTAATTTGCAGGTCCTGACAGGTAGTTCATAGCTTCTCAACACCATGAGCAGATATTTGATGAATTTTGGATTAAAGCTGTACCGCCACGCAGCAACTTTGAGTTTGCTGGCAATCAGCACTGCAGCTGGCTATGCCATGAAAATGTCTGGAGCAGAGCACTGTCTTGGTATCTTTTCTTCTGAGAATATTTGAGTCAAAATGTACCCTGGAGTCCTCTGTCTCAGAATTGTGATAATTTTTTTATCACTAAATAATTGAAAATAATGGCTATTTATGTGCATATCTTCTCTGAATTCAGAAAGATTTTTACTGTATCTTCACCCATATCATGCAGTAAAAAATGAAACTCAGCAAACTGCCTTTGTTAATTTATGTTTACCATTTCTGCTAACGCACAATGAGAAACTCCCTGGACACCAAGGTGTAAAGAAATCCTTTATACTGCCATAAGAAGGACAGAAGCTTCTTCACAACGCATGAATACTACCCAACACAAACTGTGACCTTATTATTCAATAACTGCTTCCTATTGCTGTCCGCCTTGATTTCATTACATAGAGACAGACCCTCTATTTCATTTCATTCAATTGAGGTGACGTCAAGTCCTTACATCTGCTCATTTTTAAAAAAACTTTACATTCTTGGGGAAGAGCTGGTTTGGGGTCTTTGGGGCATGGGGAGGGCATTGGACAAAAATAATATATTGTACTACAGATTACTTTTAGCTTTTCTTTCCCATTGCATTGCTTCAAACTATTTTGACCACAGCCCTATGACCCAAGACAATGACCGTATCACAAATAATTGTTTTAGCATTCGTTAATCTCTAAATGGAAGACCTTTTCAGAAGTCTTCACATTAGAAAAAGACGTGGCATATATTTCTACTTTGGCTGTTTCAGCAAAATATCATGCTTTTCCTTGAGCTATGACTGACTCCAGATGGAAGGCATTGGAGCAAAGTGCCCCTTTTCACAAAACAGCTGAGTTTAGTACAAAAAAATTTCTTTTATTCTACTTGCTACTTTACTGACTACAAGTGTCCTTCTTCTTCCTCCCAGGGCTCAGCTCTTCACAGTACTCAGTGTCAACAAGAAGAAAAAGACACTAAGTGCTGTACAAAATTTATCATCTTGTTCATATCTTTGCAAAGATATAGAGTAGAAAGAGACAGGTTACAGGTAAAATCAAATGTAAACTGAATGAAATGAGAAGTGTTCCCAAAGTGAATACACAAACTCTTCCTTTGTATAAAGCCAATGTAAGGTTAAAGCATACCACCAACCATTCAAATTAAAAAAGCATATTTTCCATCAATTAAAAAACACCAGTTAAATCACACTCTCAAGTGTTTGCAAAGGTGCAAATCAGTCAAATTAATAAATAAATCCATCTTTTCCTTTACTTCACTGATGGAAAAAAAGCAAATTATAGATTTATGTGAAGTTCAGGAAATATTCATAAATACGCATTTGGTTTTAATTAGAAACCTTCATGTAAATTCTGTCTTCCTATATCCTTTATCATTATGACTGCTGACAAAGAAACTCCAACTTAGGAAACACTTCCTTTCTTTGGAGCTGTGGTTTCTGCCAACAGACACAAGCACAAACTTGCCCATTCTGCAGATTGGTTTTGTTTGTATAGTGTTTTTTCAATAGAAAGCAATCTCCTCCCTTCTACACAACCCTAAAAAATTGATGAAAAGACTATCATCTTCCTCCAGCATTATAACATGTTGCTACCTTATAAACACCAATCTATCTTATTCTCCTAACCTTTGTTTTCAAAGCCATTTGTAAAGGTATTTATCAGCTTCAAACTAGAATGGAAAGCTCTATTCCTGTCTCTGCTGCTTCCACAATGCTATTCCCCTCCCACACACTTGACTTTAAAAGAAGCTGCTTCATGGTTAGAGCTAAGCTGTCTTTCCACTACATTGCTGCTTCCTTTTCTAGAGTACTTAGTTGTGATGACCTTAAAAACAAACAAACAAAAAAAAAAAAAAAACAACACGAAGCATCTAGACAACACTTAGGCAGCAACTGGACTAATATAACAGCCAACAATTCCAACCAGAATTGCCACAATATCTCCTTGCCCTTTTGATTCTGGATTGTCTGTTGTCATTTCTTAAAAACCCTTCAGATCAAGGACTTTCTTCTTGTTCCTGTTTTTATAGCACCTATCACAAATAGGACTCTAATTTATAATCTAGTTTTCTACATGCCATCACAATGAAAATAAATATAATAATGAAGTGTCATAAAGCAAGGAGAGACACAATTCAGGGAGGGCAAATCCATATTATCTGGCTTTAATTTTCATTTCAATCCTCAAGCTGGAGGGGTTGGTATAATTTGCCTTCTCATAAATAAGTTTTTTAAGTGATGTTGCTGTGCCATAGTAGTGCAATTCCTGAAAACTAGAGTCATTTACCAAAACCATTCATGTGATAATCTTTTATTGTGTCACTGCATGGTGATTTCAAACACAAAAAACCTAACAACATAAAACATATCTGAATAGAAAATACAGCTGTATGGTCAGTATTTGTTGAAAATACAAATACCGTGTCCATTCCACTACAGTAGAATGAAATTTTGGATAGGACCAAAGTCCTTTTCCTTGTATGGCAGTTCATTTGACTCAACTCCAGTTGAATAATTAAGAGGAGAACAATTTATCTAGCCGAGAACAATATGGGATCATTTGATGCCCCACATTCGTGTTGTGGGAACTTCTTTCACAACAGACAAACTGTCTGAAATTTGCATTTATTCTATTTTATTCTTACAAATTCTTGCAATGCAAAAAAGATATCTTAATGTGTTTTTTTCCACAGATAGTCCCAATATTTTTATTCTGTGCTTATCTCTTAAAGGCAGAGAATTGCATTCACTCAGGAATGAGCACCCCTCGATATAATGAACAGTATTTGAAATGAAGACCAGCAGACCATGTGTAAACACACTTAAAGTGAATGTCAATGACATGTGTTCCATGTTTCTTAAGGGGAAAATCCCAAGATTTTCCCAAGGCAAAAAAGTTTTCTACTACAGAAATATGCTTTGTTGAACCAAAAAGCTATCAATAATGCTTCAACAAAAAAGTCTGATTTAAACTTTTGGTTGATGATTTCTCCACCCTAAAAACAATCAAAACAGAAGTTTCCCAGGATGATGGGTGTTTCTTCATGAAATATATTACCTGTCCTGTCCACTCAGTGTATCAGAGAAGAAATTTTGGTTTTCTTTCATTTTTCTTGTCTTGCTACTTCTTCCTCTTGCTATTCACCTCACATTAGCTAACTATGCTTCTTACAAGCTCGTACAAATCTTGCAATGCTAACTCATTGCCCACAATCTGGATTTTTAGTTCTAATTCTCTAAAGCCATTTATTTATAACTGCAATAGTTAAAAGTACCATCAGTAATTTCTTCAATTCTCCTCCAGAAAGAAAAATTAGTAAATTGTTTCAGTGGCTAT